GTTACAAGACATTTACATAAATTACATTAAAAAATTTGTAACTTACTTGCATTGTTATAATCTCCCCGGCACCGCAATAAAGGAAAGTATGCGAAAGCAAAATGGTGATACCAATTAATGGAAAACATAATCGTGCGAAAGAAAGATCACTCCCTTCGGTAATCACCTGAATAATATACCTTAATGATTAGTAAAAATTAATAAATCCTAGATGGTACATCAACAATCTGCATACTTCGAAACATAAAATGAGTTTAAAAATAAAAATATATAATATGTGTGCTAATATTCTTAATTGGCATTATGTTTAAACTTACAGTAAGTAATAAGAATCCATGTAGACAAAATACAATGCCAAAATAAAATACTAAGCCTAACATCATAAAGGTAAACGTATTTTCAATAATACCAGCGAATCTATAACAATTTAAAAAATTACATGATTAAGTTCGTTATATACATATACAGTTCTTCATATATACAATAAGTAAAAAAAAAATTATTAGATTAATATTAGATTAAAGTTCAAAAAGTTACCAGATTATTAGCTTGCTAAAAATACAAAAACAGTTCTTACATACAAATTTATTCAGAAGTATACTATTTTTCAAAATATAAATCATTAATAACCATTCGCTATCAGTCCTCTAACTGTTGGATTTAATCTTGGTACCATTTAGACAAAAAGAATTCACGACAAGTGCTACGTCAACTTGCTCAATAATTTTGACTCGTTGTTCTTAAAAGAAATGCTTTATTGAACGAAATACCGTAGTCAAACAGTGCAAGATCAGGATTGTATGCAGAATGGAGTAAAATCTCAATTACGTCTAAATAAATGGTACCGAGACCAAATCCGGCAGCTAGCAGAATACTGGTAAGTTATTGAATAAATAAATGGTTTTTATTTTGAAAAATAATTTAATTAATAAATTGTTCTCATACGTAAAAAGAGCATTCGGAACTATTTTAACAACCTAATAGTAATATTTTGTAAAAAAACCTTTTATACTTCCTCAATTAATTATGACAGAAAGATAATTATAAAGTACTTATCACATACTTCAACGAATCTTAATAAATATTATTTTATAGTTATTTTTAATATTTGTATCATTTTTTTACAATACTAATAATATAAAATTAGAAATAAAAATCTCTTATTATTAAATTAATTTTATTAACAAATTATTAAATAATTTTTTATTGCAGGATCTTTATTTGTAGTTGAGTTTTACTTGCAATTGTATAATTATATAATGACGAATATTATTATATATGTACATGCAAATACCTGATAAGCCGTATATGAGTCATTATGTTATGACTCAGAATATAGATAAAATTTTGGCATGAAATCAAACTAGTTATACGGCTTTTGAAGTTTTCCAATTGACCACTGAAGTGAAGAATCGAGAGTCCAAGAAAAGCATCTACCGAAGTGTAAGTTACAGCGGCTAAGAACACTGTAATAGCTTGAACAATGTATGTTAGTTCAAATTGCGGACTCTTATCTATGTCATAAAAATAATAAGTCTGCAACGGCAGCGGCTTGCCCGGGTCCGTCAGATTTGTCAAACGCCTTAACGATAAACCAAAATAAGGAAGAATAATGACCATAATAAACGCCAATACCATGAGAATGTATCCACTAATGACAATAATTCTAGCAATTTATGCTCGCCTTATCATTACATCCCTTTCCTTTCTTGTCTTTAGTTCCATCCAGTCTTCCGCCATCATTTTTATGATGGATAAAAGTGCTTTGAAATATAGCAAAATAATCACTTGTAGAACCGTCACATATTATTTCTTGTTTTAAAGCTATGGCAAGTACCTTTAAATATACGTCATGTTTCATATCTTTTGTACAATAAATAAACTTTCTTCATACCTTCGTGCCACATATAGATATAATTTCATCTCTACCTGTTTGTTTATACCGCATAACAACAAGTTTCAACGAGACCACTAGCAAAGGTAAAGTAACTTGGAGATTGTCTACCATAAGTAACATGTCTCCCCAAACTCGTATAAGGGAGCAGGTGAGAGGTATACCAGAAATAAATGTTACTATAACGAAAATAATGACCACACGGAGATCGGAAGAGAAGTTATTTTTGGGTACTTCATCGCTCTTGGGCCATAATCCGATTAGTTCTAAACCCAAGCGATTTAATTTAATCGCCCACGTAAAATCTAGTTACATATTAAGAGTTTATCAAAATTTATGACACTGAGGTAACAAATCCAGAATTCAAAATTCAAAGTATTGATGTTGGATTTTTTAATTTTATGAACATGTGTAATAATTAGAATTATAAAATAAACATTACAAAAATATAGCAATTAAATTGCTATATTTTTACATATTGGCATAATAAGTCGAGATTACATGTAAATATTTTTGTAGTTGTGTCCGTTGTTTCTAAATCGTAATATTTTTTAATTATAAATTTGTAATAATAATGTTAAAGAGTATTACGATTTAAACGTTACAATCACTTAGAAAAGTATTTACATATAATCTCGACCTATTAAATATTTATTTTAAAATACAATTATTGTAAAATATATTTATTTTAAAATATAGTAATCTAGAACATTTTCAAGAATCTGCATTTTCTCTTCTAAACGAAAAAATACATAATAAACGTTCGATACCTTTAGACTGTGAATGTTTGGCAATGTCCATGTCGAAGACTAATGCGAAGACCCTCACTCTACTTGTTATAGTAGTGCAAACCATGATTATCACGCATGCTCACGATACGAGTACAACAACCTGGTTGTTTCTCCGAAGAATGCATTAAATATTACAAATGCTACTTCCAATTGATAACAGCTGTTTCGTTTCGTTTCAAAACTTTACGAATAAAAAAGTAACGTAATTATTACGCATGCTTACAATACGAGTGTAACAACCTGGTTGTTTCTCCGAAGAATGCATCAAATATTACAAATGCTACTTCCAATTAATAACAGCTGTTTCATTTCGTTCCAAAACTTCAAGAATAAAAAAGTAACAGAAGTTCACGCTTCTAAGAAGAAAGCGTATCGTGCTGTTTACGACATCTATTATTGCCACTCCTCGAACTATACGCTAAAAGTTTCTTCATACTTTGTAATACAACGATCCATCTCGTATTTAGAGATGTATGTGTGGTTGTGTTTTAATACTTTCGCAGAAAGGCCGTAGTATTAAAAAAAGTTTAAGATAAAAAGTGCGATATGAAAGAAAAAATGTAACGTTCCATAAGCTATACGATTACTGTGAATAACTATTGAAAAGACATAGTTCTTGATAATACTAGATGAATAAATGTGCATTATCAAATAAGTGTATAATAATAATAATAATAATATTATTGCTAATATTATCTAAAGAAATATAAAGAATTATAATGTATACAAAAATGTAATATACGAGGGTGGATCAAATATAAACGAGATTTTTTTTATTGTTTATTGGACGAAAATAAAAATATAAAGAAAACAAATTATTTTTTTTACACATCCCTGCTACATTAATATATTTTTGCCAGCGGATAGGCAATTTGGCGATCCCGTTTTCATAAAAAGTAGTAGGTTGTGT